CCCCCCCCCCCCCCCCGCCCCTATAAAAATTCCGTGTCCAGCACTGACCTTTACTAACCCTTAACAAATATGGATATCAAATTACTGACCTGTGTCAGAAAGTCAGAAACATTTCACCAGAACAGTGGTTCTTAACCTGGGGTAAAACTATCTCCCCAGCCCTGAGGTGTGGGAGACCAGAAAATTGTATTTGCTGCCATTGCTAGTTGTTGCTGCTTAAAATAAAAAAAAAATATATATAAAAATTCAGTTTTTATGCATCCTGATTATCAGCAAAAATGTTTTTCTGATGATTTTTTTTTGCACATTGCTTGTACTTGTATTGGTAATTGTTTCATTGTTTGTGTTCAGGGTTCCGTGGGTTCAGTTGTCTTTGTGTTCAATGTTTATCTGCTACCTTTACCTTTGGGCTGATCTACGTGAGGTAGTTAATCTTACAAAGCAGTATTTGCAGACTAAAGGCTTTACTCTTGACAAAGTGGTGACAAACCTAGAGGCCTTAAGATTGTTTCTGCACGAGAAGCGCTATCACTTGGTGGAACATGCTATTGAAAATTTACTTTTAAAATCAGACCCAAATGGAATTTCGGTAGAGAGAAGATTAAGAAGAGAATGGCAGGATGACAATTAATAGATACTGGAGAAGAAAACAGTAGGGAGATGCTGGAGTGTATTGATCGCTTTCATCCTGAACTCAAGATCATGCAGATCATCAGCGATCAAGGAAGTAGCATATGTGTTTTGGGGTGTTCAAACTAGACCTACCAGCCGATTTTTTAACAAAAAAATTTGTCTGGCTGACATAATTTTTTGGCTGATATTCCGATTAGCCGGATTTCTCCGTAAATTGACATTTGCGGCTGATTTTCGGCGATTACGAAATATTCGGCTGAAATTCGACCGAAGCCTGGCCAATAATGAAGTAATAAAACTTCAGCAATAAATCCCTTTTACAATACTTAAGAAAAAGTTTTATTATTTCAAACAATAGAGGAAAAAAAGTCTACATTATGCTTTTTTCTGTCTCGACGCCTAGAAACCACACATATAAATCACAGAGAGGATTGGTCTTGTATTGACCACAACTACGTCAAATTAGTTTGTTATAGGTCATGACCGGAGCCTCTGTAACACCCTTTCTGTGACCCCCCCCCCCGGGAGAAATGACGGAAAAATCACTGTGCGACACCTTGCTCTATTGTAATATGCTTTGGTCTTTGGGGGCGATGTTCACAACTACCTCAAATTAGTTTGTTATAGGCCATGACCGGAGCCTCTGTAACACCCTTCCTGGGCCCCCCCCCCCCCCGGGAGAAATGACGGAAAAATCACTGTGCGACACCTTGCTCTATTGTAATATGCTTTGGTCTTTGGGGGCGATGTGCGCTGGCACCATATTATTGTATTTAACCATAGTAAACTACAATATCAACTCTAGCAAGCTCCGTCAAATTTGCATTTTTCCATATTGGTGTCACACCCTACTGACGCTACTATTCAGTTTACCCTTCCTGTGTGATTTTATGTTCATATTATGAAAATTTGGGGGGGGGGTGGCGAGAGCGCAGACTTGGGGTTTGGGAATAAGGGGATAAATAGCATAGGTTGGGTGGGGTGGGGGTGTGGTGGTTAATAACACGAAATATTACTTGTAATAGTGTAACCACGCTTAAAAAAGGGTGACTCTTATGTAATGAATTAAGTGAAACAATTAGTTTTTCTAAATTCACAAGGTTGACAGTTGAATTAGCAGAAATGCCATATTTTCGTACAAATGAATAGTGCTAGCCAGTAAAACCAGTTAGGACTTTCATTTTTGGTTTCCTTTTTAACCCTACTCCAGCATCAACATTTCAATAAAATAAGGACGATAATGATCAAAAGGGGATTTATAATTTGTACATAGCTTATGCAATTTATTTTGTTAAAAATTAAAATCGTTGCAAAGAATATTATTAAAAGTTCCGGTAATTAAAACTTTGTTATGGCAGTTTAAATATTTCACCTTGGATTCTGTCTCACCATTACAGACTAAAATCTCTAAAAAATTTGCCCAATAACTAATTTCAAAGATGGCTGACTTATCTTTAGACGATATCATTCGCAAGAAAAAGACAATTTCAAAGTAGGCGTATAGTTAATAAATTAAGTAATCGTTTTAATATATATCAACAGTTAAAAACGGACAATCTCATAAATTAGTGCAATAAAATTAAACGCCAATGTCGAGTGCACACCACCAGTAAGCATTTTAAATGAAAAAGCCCCTCATTACAATACAATTAATATTAATATTACACTTTATGATACTACTATTTAAATTAAGTATTTTTTATTTACTATTTTAATGTAAATATGCCTGATGACTCTACAAATTAACAAAGAACATTACTATAATTAAGATTGCATAAATAATAGAACAAGTATTGGTAAATATGGGTTAGGCAGTGTCTACACGTCCGGTACGCCGGACATATATCTCCCGCACTATTTGTCCGGCGACCAAGTCACATGACCGCTGTAACAAAGTGGCGAGAGATATCTTGTCGGTCAGCCTTGTCACGTGAATGCGAATGATTCAAAGCTATTGTTGATTTTAAAATCTATTTCTCTACCAAGTAATGTACTGAGTAGCCTATCTTGAACGAAGTGATTATTCACAGAGCTGTGCGGATAACGCTCGCCGTTATTCACAGATTTCGGTCTGCCGATAACGCTAAACGTTATTCGCAGAATGTGATAAATTAAATAATGAATATAAAATACAAAGTTCGTTTATACACATCTCCTTGGTAGTGAAGTGGTCAGTATCTCCGACCGTCACCCAGCAGACATAGGTTCGATTCCCCGTCGGAGAAGCTTCATTTTTATAAATAAAATAATTTTTTTAAAAATATTTAATGGTTATTTCGTAGTGTTATATTATAATAATATTCTTCATATAGCTTTCTTTTTCTGTTCACATAGTTTTATTATTATTTTCATATAGTTTTGTTACTTATGTTACACGTTTCAATCTATTTTGTTAGAATGTTCATTCAAGTTTCGTTAAAAAAATTTAAACAACATGGACATGCAGATCAGCCGCATAAACCATGTTTAAGTCAGATACAGCTGTTCTAACTGTAGCCTACATTGTGATATACTTTTAGCTCTTTTGACTGTTTAATTTTCTTTGTATAATTCCACTCATAGACTTTAACATCCATTTGTTTTTTCTCTAATAAACAAATAATTATTAATAACTTACTTATTCAAATATTTTAGATCACAGAGTTGTGTATTAATGTTTAGCTGAAAAAATATGTCACGTTTTATTTGTTTCATTTTATTTTCTAATAAGTATCATAATAAGTAGGGACACAATATGCCGCTCCAGAAATAGTTGAAATAACATTTAGTGATGACAATGAAATGAACATACCGGTACCGTACTTAAAACACATCAATATCATTGACATCAACAATTTTAGCTCTTGT